GACTGGTGGTAGAATTTTCCCACAATGGTATGAATAGAGCTGACGTTTCCATGGAATTTCACACAGCCTTACTTTCCCAAAAGTTGCTCTCGTCTAAGGTGAACTGAAGTTTCAACCTCGTAAGATCTTATCAACACCCCCAGCGGGAGTCGAACCATGACAGTTCAGCATGCGAGCTTGAAACGTTAACCACTCGGCTAGATTGCCACGAGTGCCCTTAGGTCACAGGGCCGATGCGAATTTCAAGGAAGGCCAGGCCTTTTTCCCATACCACATTCTTTGGTGGGATTGTCGATGAAGCAAACGTATTTTCGCTATAATAATCGACTACATTACTTATTTTTCATATATAAGTACAGTTTCGAGACTACCAGTAAATCAGTTATATAAGATTTATTAGTAATCTCGAAACTTTTTTATACACGAAAAACTATTAGCAAACTAGCCAAATAACCCACATATTCTGACATTTTCCTTTCCTCCGAGTATTAGATTACAGGTATAAACAAACCGTTGTTTGAGATATTCTTTTTCTTCAGCTCGAATACGTTCTCGCTCGCGCATTTGAAAATCGACGATGAACTTTGGATACCTAGTCACCGCAGGATAGAAGGGTCGAGTGAGAGGTACATAGTTGATTGAAAGGCGAACTGGTCTTGTAACCATTGCTTCTCGGGTATCCTTAACGCCATTCTCGTCAGCAACTGGGAGAGAGACTGTCAATTGACTCCCTGTAGGGTCATGAGAGGGATAGATCTTGCCTAGCACATCAGTGCTCAAGCCGTTATCAACAGTGAGCGAATTCGCATTGGCTTCCTTTTCCAGTGGATTTTGGATATTATTGTTTTCATTCATGTTAATAGTACTACCCTTGCTAATACTATTTTGGCTTGAATCGCGGATCGTCTGTCGAGTAGACATGTGAAGGGCAATCAGTCGGCTTGCCTGAAGATTAGGTGGAGTATTATTTGCGATTTGACGAGTGGTGTGTAGAACAGCTGAAACTGGTAGAGAGTTCTGGCTGCGGAAGAACGCCTTTTGAGGGAAATGCAAAAGTAAAAAACGAGGGAAGATCAGATGAAATATATAAAAGTACTCAAATAGGCTTAGCGATTTTTTATAAAATAATTCATTTATGTTCATGGACGATCGACACGATCCGACGGACTATATAAAGTTAATCTAAATATCCTCAGAAAAAGGTTGATATTATATATTTAATATCCGAAGAAAATATAGCGCTTATGTTTATTGTGATATGACTTTCCATCTCAAGGGAAAAGTTGGATGGAATTAATCCGTGATGTGGTCTCACTGGAAAACGAAGAAGATTGTTCTTCATATCTTAGATTTATTAATTTCAATGAAGTTTCCCCAGAATGCCTTTGATGTCTGATATTTTTGCAGTACATATGTGGTGAAATTAAGAAAATATAAAGATAGATTGCTTTGGTAGAACCTGTTGGCTGAAGTAGAGCCATGCAATACATTTAATGAAACTGAACACCAATGCTGGATATGAATATGGCAAAAACATTTTATAATCAAGGTCAACATGAATTCGGACAGGATCAGATTCATGGAAAAACTTGATTCATAAGCTCCTTTGCACTCATTCGAAATCCATATCTTCCTATAAAGAGATAAAGGTGATTAGCAATATTAAATTAGCGACATATTACATTGTTTTAAATATATTAGTTATAGCATATAGAAAGTCATTTACTAGCAGAGAAGTAACAATCCAACTGCTATTTACTACAATGACACATGCATCCAATCCACTTATATCAATATAACAGACTTCACATGACAACCAGAAGAATGAGTAATAAATGCTGATAATTGAGAGTGAATGCAAAAATACCTGAAATAAGCTCCAAACCGGGTTAAGCCGCTATAGGAGAGACATCGTATCTTAATAACAATTCCTTCACAGCTTTCTTGCACCTATCATCAAGCTCCTTTTGCGCTCCGCAAACATTTTTTTGAAACTTAGTATATCTTTGTCCTGGTCCATGAGCACTTCTTGACTATTGAGACTTCTTGTTCCTAACACGAGCATCAGCCTAAATACTACCAGAAGCACAACCCACCTAAATACAACTACTGCTTGACCTTTTTAGATGAGTTAGCTATCCATCAAAGCCCAGCCATTTAGGTCAGGTCCTTCCTGCTTCCGAAGCATAGGATATACCTGCCAAAGAAACCCCCAAATTGCTCTTGCGAGTGTACCTCATCACACCTGCTAAGCCTAGTCTTACTACTCGCCTTCCAAGACTTTAACGAAAGTAGAGGATAACAAAATATCCTATTGTCGAGTCATGACATCTTGTACATCTTTAGTTCTGGTCTGGCTTCTTCCTTAACGAATTTGGTTGTGTTAAGTGTAGCATAACAAGAATTTTGCCTTTCAGTTTAATTTAACTAGATCTTAGGTCTTCTCAATTAGTTTCGTTTATGCTGAAGTAACCTACTCCATCGTTCTACTTATTAAGACAACTTCACCAGGTAAGCTGATATAACATGCGTCATCGAAACTAGGTAAAGCAACGCACAAAAACAGCTGAGATCTTCAGCTGATCTCATATAAGCAGAAATAATTATGCATAAAATGGACTCAGGACAAGGTGCGTTCCTATAAGTCTTCCTACCAATATGACCA